TCTCCTTTATCATTGACAGGCAGTTTTGCCCAGGATGTGACTTGTGGCTGGCAGCTTTCTTGCGGGCCTTTATATCTGCTGTTCCACTGTCTCTCCCTCCATAAACTTTCAGAAGACCCCGGGCACATAGCAGGCTGCCTCCGCTTTTCTTTATAATGATGACGTGGGTAGCTGTGTATGAAGGAGTTGGGGGGGAGGGGCACGACCATGTGACAGAGCCACCACATAGAGGTCAGAGGACAATTTGACGGAGTCAGGCCTCTTCTCTAACCTTTACGGAGGTCCGTCGGCCAGGCCCATAGGTTGCTTCTGTCTCGCTCCTTTCACAATTCTCTGTATCCTTGGGGATTTACAGTTTTATTGTAAAGCATCATGGCTCAAGTTTGAGGGGTTTTTTGTCCTTCCTTTCTTCCTTCTTCTATCCCTTCTTCACTGTTTTCTTTCCTCTTTCTCTTCCCTTCTCTCATCTCTCCTTTTCTCCCCCGCTCCTTGCTTCTCTCTATAGTACTAAGGATTGAACCTAGGACCTCATATCTGTTAGGCAAGTGCTCTAGCACTGAGCTGTATTCTGGGCCCTTTACATTTTTGTTTTGTTTTATTTACCACTTTTGGCTTTGAGATCACCTGAGCTGGGTAGCCTGCCCCAGCCTCCCAGGTGGCAGTAGTCACAGGCCTGAGGCCCCAGGCCTGGCTTCTTTGGGGTTTACCCGTATGGAACCTGTTGAGCTTCTCACCTGTGTATTCATGCCTTTTTTCACAATTAGGAAGCTTCAGGTCATTGTTTCTTTAAAAAAAAAAAAAAAAAAAAAATTAAATCAGTGCCTAGCAGCTGTATGTTTTTATGGGTGCAGTGACTTTTCAACTGTGTGTCTACATTGTGTAGTGATGAAATCAGCCTACCCACCACCTGAAGTTTGTTGTGTGTGTGAGACCTAAGAACCTGTCTTCCAGCTATTTTAATAGAGGTTGTTGTCAGCTCTAGCTTCCTCGCTGAGCAAGGAACGTAAGCACACTCTTCTAGTAACATTGTTCCGTCCACCCCGGTTCCTTCCTGGGGCTGCCGCCACTCTCTCTGCTGTTCTAAATTGACTTTCCTGAATGCACAGCACGAGATCATATAACTCTTGCTTTTTCTGTTTGGCTTATTTGGATTAAAGTAATGTCTTCTGAATCTACTTGTGTTGTTCAAACAAAACAGCCTCTCTTCCTTTCCATGACTGAATCATATTCCATCGTACAGAGATCATTTTCCTCATACATGCATTCCTTGTTCAGCATTGAGGTTAACTCCGAACCTTGGCGATGAGATGATCACGGGAGTGAAGCTACGTCTTGATCTAATTTCGTTGCCATTGGATAAATTCCTGCCCCACTCACACCATGACCCAGGCAGATTATCAAATGTTTGGTTTGGGGGCTCATGGTTCCGGATGGCTAGAGTCCATGGCCGTCACAGTGGGCGCCATGGCAGCAAGAGACAGGCACAGCACTGGAGCGGGACATTTTTCTTCACATGCGTTATGCAGAGAGAAACGCTGGGAATGCCGTGGACCCACCATGACACACTTCCCTTAACAAGACCACACTTCCTAATTCTTCCCAAAAAGTCCCACCAACTGGGGAGCAAGTTCAACACAGGAGCCTGTGAGGGCCATTCACATCCAAACCACCACAGCACCCACCCGTGGAACTGGGGGGCCTTGGGCTGATTCTACTTTTCTTTTTTAAAGAAACTTTCATAATTGTACCAACAGTGTGTGATCATTCCTCTTCTCTACACCCTGGCCACGAATAAAAGCCGTCTAACCAGGGCTAGGGAGTCAGCCGTGGCTTTCCTGATGAGCTATCATGTTGCGTATCTTCTCTAATGCCTGTGAGCAATTTCTGTGTCTTCTTTTGAGAAATGCCTTCTACAATCTTTGCATACTTTTGATAAGACTGAGGATTTTTTGTTTTGTTTTAAGCAGTCTGGACAGTGGCTCTTGTTGGCCCTTGTTGGGCTCTATGTGAGCGGGCATCCCTCTGCTTCGGTTTTATAGCCAGTTGGGGGCAGCTGTCTTGCAGGCTTGCAGGAAGATTCTTGGCATTTTATTCAAGAGTGAAACAGAAGCTCACACATCTTGCAAAGTAGCAAGAAAACCTTATGCAAAGCAACAGAAATGATCAGAGCACACTGCAAAGGAACAATGGCCACTGGGGTGAAGGAGGGAATCGAGAGCCCAGTTACTATTTGGTGCTTTCCTTAATGGGGTTCAAGAGAAGGAGAGTTTGGTTGCTCACGGTGTAGTATGGCCAGGTTTCTGTTTTGATTCATAGTCTAGGTTGTACAGCCATTTTTTTTCCATTGCACATGTCTCTTCCCATAAGGCATATGACTTTAATCTTATGCATGCCCCATTATACAAATGCTTAAGCTGGCAAATAAGGGGTTCTCCCTAAAAGTTCCTGGCCTGAGGACACAGTTTTATCTTAGTACATATGTACCCAAAACCAGTTCAAGATAGATTGGCCTTTTTATTCTTCCTATTGGTAATTAGAAATATTTTTTAATAGAATCTAAATTTGATGGTTGTTAGGGACAGAGCTACTTACCTGAGTCAGAAAGAGGTATAGCTCTATGCAGTGTGGGGGTGGGGAGGAGTGTCTGAGGTTGGTAGGTGCCTTGTTTGAAGAGGTGTGGGTGTAAAGTGTCGTATATGCGGAGGGGGGAGCTGGCAGCCAGGAGGCAGGATTACATAAACCAAACCAAGTCCATCCTAGACCACTAAACTATTCCTGTGTTTGCCTACCTCAGTGATGCCAGCGCTGTGACTGGGGTGTCATGTTGCCCCAGTGTGAGCAGGCTCCAGTATGACTGAGTGTCTGCCCACTGGGACCCAGGATTGCTTTGATCCTGGCCACTGTTGGGGAGATTTTCCCTCTGAGGCTGCCTTTCAGCAACTCCCCACAGTCCATTTCCTCACACCACGTTTGCTAACCTCTAGCCAGCCACAGAGCGGAGAGGATGGATTTTACACACCTGGCACGTGCTGCTTAGGTGCAGGCTGGGGGGGGAGGAGGGAAGGTCCATATCAGGAGACAGATCCTCCCCACTCCCAATGCCAGGGCTCTGCTTAGCTTGCTTTTAGTGGAGGGTAAAGACTGCTGCACGTCTCTTGGAGGAGATGCAGATCACGTCTGCCAACCCATAGTGCCAAGTCAGAATACTCCCTTTCCTGATGGGTAGCCCTAGGGACTCACTAGGGGCAGGAAGTGAGCTCAGTCTTGGTGTGGCAATAATGTCTTTTGTACTTATAAAAGACATGGGCTTTATTCAAAGCATCATTGTGATGTTACGCTCGGGCGCTGGCCAAGTCTGCTTTTGAAAACCTGTTTATCTAGAGGGCACATGCTGAGTCCTGAGGACCAGCACTGGACAGAAGGTTATGACCAGGCCTTGCCAAATGATGCTCGTGGGGAATCTAAAACAATGGCGAGACGCAGCCACACTCACGAATGCCAAGGCTGCGGTGAGGAGCAAAAGTACTGTGTGCAGGAGGGGTGCGTGGTGGTGGGGACAGTAGGGTCCCCTGAGGTCCATGCTTGAATGCCAAGAAAGGAGGAGCGTCGCATGGAGGCAAGGAGGCCCGGAGACTGAAGAGACAAAGGAGCCTTGGACAGACGAGGCATCCTGTGCTGGGACTTGAGAGATGGCTTAGTGGTTAAGAGCATTTGCTGCTTTTTCAGAGGACCAAGGTTTCATATATGTATGTATATGTATAAAGCAGCATACAACTGCTTATAACTCTGACACCCTCTCCTGGCCTCCACAGACACCAGGTACACATGGGGTGTATATACGTGCTTATATACATAAAATTAAATAATTTTTTAAAAAGATACTTCACTCAGGCTGGATGAAGGCCTCTACACAGACTGCTCGGCAGACAATGGCAGGTACCTGGGAACACACCTACACCCACGCAGACCAGCACACAGGCCTCAGAGGCATATAGGCCTACAGATAGACAAGATGAAACAAAAACCCTTGCGTCTGACCTTAAGGCCATGTTTATACAGAGTCACACAGAAATGTCATTCTGCCAACGACAGCTAGGGAAGAGATGACATTGTTATGGGGTCCTCTTAAATCCATTATAACTCAGACACCGGGTCAATGAAGATGACAAAAATGGATTATAACCAAACTGCTGCTGATCGATCATGGCCACAGAACAGACTCGGGAGCTGAGCTGAAAACCCTGAGCCAGAATAGCACAGAATATTTTAGCTTGCAAACCACAAACATCTGTGCCAAGTTATTGTTATGATTATTTTTTTTTTCACCAATCAGGATAGCAGTTTGTTTCTGGGCCTGGAAACATGACCTTGTTTGACCCTGCCAGAAAGACGCTGCCCTTGAGAAGTTGTCCTTGAGGTATCTGGGCTCAGACAACTGTCCCGTAGAGCCTAGGACCTTGAACTTAGTTTTCCCCTATGACTAAATGGGGTCCAGAAAACAAAATAGCAATACTTAGAACAAGTTCCTTTTGCTTGTTCCCAGCAACATCATTATTTGCTTTTGGATTCCTCAGACATCTAGTGTCAGCCATTTTGTGCTGACTCACGGCCCTCTGCTGTCTAACACTGGCCGTCTCAGCCCAGGCTGGATAGCTAGATCAGTGCTAGGTAGCCTAAACATAAATTGGTCCTTCCAGCCCTCTGTTTCCTACACTTCTCCCCTCCACCCCTCTGGGTAATGAGGATTAGACAGATGTCAGGGATGCAGGGGAAGTAAGCAGAGACCTGAAACACTTTGAGGACGATGGGGGAACAGGCAGGGTACAACTCTATGAGGGAGAGACCTTAAGGGAAACCATCTTACAAAGGGAAACTTAAAGAGCTTTGTCTGGCTGTCCTCTGCCTGCTGAAACAGAGAATGTCTCAGAATGCGGCAGGAGAGGCCACCTAGCTTCTGCTTAACCGTCTGCTGTCCTAAAGCTCCATCTCTCTTTCCACAGGGCTGGCGGCCAGGGGTGGCTATGGCATCCTGCCCCAGAGAGCATTACTGGGACCCCTTAGCGAAAACCTGTATCTCCTGCACAGTCACCTGCAGCCAGAGGAGCCAGCACACCTGCACAGACTTCTGCAGTGAGTTTTGGCATCTGAGCCCGGCGGACAGCTGAGCACTGGCTCACCTCCCCAGAAGCCCTTTGCCCTTTCCCCAGCTAGGTGGAGGAGAATGAGTGGAGGAACGAGATGTGCCAAGTGGTCTCTTTCCTCAGCCTTTCAACTGTTTGCACAAGTCTATTCTTTCCTGCCTCAGGCCCTTGGCAGTTGCCTACTCCCCTGCCAGGAAAGCATTTCCCTAATCTTTCCTCAGCTCCTTTTCAACATCACAGTCCTGGAGGCCTTCTCTGACTACAAAGGAGGAATTAGGCCTCACCATGTGACCTTCTTCATCCCTGTCACATCCTTTAAAAAAATATTTTTAAAAAATTTATTCTTTGGTAAATCAACACACAAACACAATGTTTTTTAGATCTCTCTCTCTCTCTCTCTCCTTTTTTAGCAGGTCTTTCTGTGTGACTCAGGCCAGCCTTACACTTTAGATCCTCCTGCCTCAGCATGCCGAATATTGGGATTACAGGCGTGTATTACCTCACCAGCTCTATTGTTGCTTTGCTTAGAAACATTATACTATGGAATTTATCAAGTATCTAAACACGGAGAGAAGAAAGCACAGCACTCCCACAGACAGACACAGGAGAGCCCAGCACACCCATATGCACATCTTCAGAACTGATTAAAACTCTGCCTTTTCATTCCCAATCCAGTTTTTTCACTCGTGTATTTTCCAAACATTTACTGATTATCTCCCAGCTTTAAAACTTAATTTTTAATGTATGCACATGTGTGTAAGTCAGTAGTTAGTTCATCCAGCATGTGGTCTTCTGGGATCAAACTTAGGTTATCCATCGTGATGGCAAATAAATATCTTCAGCCATTGAGCAGTCTTCTTCACCCTTGTATGTTTTGAATAATTTTAAGATTCTATTAGTCTTAAAGGAGGAAAGCTCATGGTTTCAGGGGGGTTTCAACCTATGGTCGCTTGGCTCTCTGTTTCTTGGCATGTGGTAAATGGTGCTTACTGGGGAATAAGTGGGTAATGCCTCCCTTCCCCGAAGGACTTTCTCCAGGTAGGACTGTGGCCTCGGAGCCTTTCTGGCTGTGATGGATTCACTTGCCCAGGAGATCAGCTTCCTGTGAACTATTTGACAGATGGGAACCTTGGGGCCATAGCTCCTGCTCGAGTTAGCGCACATCACCATGGCCTTTCCCAGCTCCCTTCCCAACTCTCCAAGGAGGGTCCTGGTTTCTCCTCTCCCATTCCTCCCACTAACTTGAAGTCAGAAGATCTGAAAATGCAAATAAACATTTTATATGTCAATGTAATTAATAATCTAGATATTCATTTTAAAAGCCATGTAGAAGGGGCTAGAGAGATGGTTAAGAGCATTCAGTGGTTAAGAGCGTTCACTAGTTTTGCAGAGGACCTAGCTCTGTTCCCAGTCGCTACTGCTGACTCACCTGACTCCAGTTCAGGAGAGCTCGCGCTTCTTTGGAACTCCACAGGCACCAGGCATGCTTGGGGTGTAGGCAAAGCACTCATGCATGTAAAATAGAAATAAATAAATCGTTAAAGCTTTAGATATATGCAGAAAGCCACCACATTTGGAAACCAAGAAGTGAGAAGAATTTTTGAGTCAAAGAAGGAACAAAACAACAATAGCAAACCCAGAAACATCTTGGACTGGGTACAGGAAGATACATATGAATATAGATGTAAATATAAAAAATGCGTATGCTAGAGAATGCCTAGAGGGCACAGCCACTCTGAATTGCTGTTTTCACGTTGAACTATATATCGGTTGGTCTGGTTTGGTTTCTTCACTTGGACATAGCTCAGGGTCAGAGTCCAAGCTCCTGAAAGCCCAGAAGCCCTGCGGCATTGTTCTTTCTGTCCCACAGAGTTCCTCAGCTGCCGAAAACAGCAGGACAAGTACTACGACCATCTCCTGGGGGCCTGCGTCAGCTGCGACTCCACCTGCATGCAGCACCCTCAGCAGTGTGCTCATTTCTGTGAGAAAAGGGCTCGAAGCAGGGTGAACCTCCAGCCAGAGCTCAGGAGCCCACAGGCCGGGGAGGTAGAAGCCAGGCCAGACAACTCAGGAAGGCACCAGGGATCAGAGCATGGAGGCTTGCAGACAGGTCCAGGTAAGTGACCCAACACCAGTGCCTAAGGCATCTGAGGATCAGGACTGGTAGGAGGCTGGGCAGCAGGTTGCAATAACAAGCATCTTTGGTCCAAGAGGCCCAGACTCTTGGCAACTAGCCAGAAGCCAGGGAGGTCACTCCAGGATAGAAAAACTGTTTAGACAAAATTTCAGATGTCTATGGGACATTTTCTCACACATACTCAGTGTACATTGCTCAAATCTTGATACCTCAAGCACTTAGTCATTTCTTTGTAGTGAAAATATTAAAAATCTGTTTAAAGTTTCCCCTTAAAATCCGGACAAGGTGGCGGGAGGCAGAGGCAGGCAGATCTCTGTGAGTTCCAGGCCAGCCTGGTCTACAAAGTGAGTCCAGGACACCCAAGGCTACACAGAGAAACCCTGTCTCAAATATATATAGAAAGTTTCCCCTTAATGTTGTGTAGTGCTAGAACTGAGCCCAATGGTCATGGTGCAAGGCAGGAGTCGGATGCCGAGCCATGGACACACTTCTTAGCTTCTGAGATACACAATATATCGTCACGGCCTAGCCAGAAGCCCAGGGTTGCCCCTTTCTACATAGCTTCTCTGAGGTTCTTATTCTAGGGGTAAAACAGGGCCCAGACCAAAGAGTTGGAGAGAATGATTCCATAGGGTCTGGTGTGGGCTGCAAACTTTTTTTTTTTTTTTGTAAATGAAAGAATTAAACAATCAGAGGGAAATGAAAACTCAGATAGACCTCGGTAGTGAAAGCTGATGTTTATTGGTCTGAAAGATGAGGCTCCAAAACCCAAGAGGCACAGAATCTGAACTTGCAGAGGAATGCAAATTACATGTTTTGTGGGCGTGACATAGCTAAGAATAGAGAAGGAAGAAGGAAGGGTCTTGTCAGGGGTGAAATGAGGAAGTGAGCTGCTTTTCTATATGAGCTATTTCTTGGAATGGCAGGATGGAAGATAGGTCAGTTGCTTTTCCCTGACTTTCCAGGGGGTTAGCTGCTTTCTGGGATTTCCATGCATTGCAGATTTCCCGGGCCCTTGGGCTGGTTTGGCCTTGGGGGCAGATTTCCTTTAATCCCCAGACCCTTTCCATGTAAGGGATGAGGGCGCCATTTTCTATCTGGCTACTTTCTGCTGGGGCTGGGAGGCATCATTTTGGGCTTCTCAAGTCTGGAGCAATCCTAGAGGAATCATCTTTATCTTGTGTGGTGGACCAGGTAAAGGCAATGATGCAGTTCGGAGAAACTTCCATAAAAAGTTTAAAAGACAGGGTGAACCGTAAGGATGAGGATGTCAAGGAGGAAGGCGGTGAGTAAGGGAAGGAGGCAGGATGGGTGGGAACCGGGAGCCCACCCATCTAGAGGGACCTTATTGCTGAATTGTCTGTGCATGGTCTTGAACCAGTTTTGATGTGCTGACGTAGAAGCAGCATTGTTCCTGGAGGAGGGCCTGAAGGACTGAGGTGGAATTGAAGGCTCTCCCCATTCCTGCTCTTCTTTGTAGTCCTGAAGAATGCCCAGAGTGGCCAGAAGAGGGGAGGGTCCGATGGCTCATTTTGCTCTTATTAATGGAGGTGTAGAGATAGAAACTAGAGCTCCGTGGGGAGCTTTTCCTGCAACCCCCAAAGAGTCCTGTCTTAAAGGAAAGACAGGAAATGATGTCCAAAATGGTTATCTGGTACAGTTTTCCCTTTGAGGTCTTTCAGGCATGCCAGATGGAGGAGTGTCCCGGGGACACGGCAGCAAAAGGCTACAAGATGACTAGGAGAGATAGACTTACTTTAATTAATTAGCTCATTTGAGCAAGGCAAAAGATATTGGTGTTGAGGGAACATGGTAGGATGAGGAAGGTTCTGGGAGGCCAAAGGCCGAAGCAGAGTTAGGTTTAAATGAAGAGGGCGATAAGGATTTGAAAGGATTTCCCTAGCCTAGGGAAAGCAGGTCTTTCTCTTTGTCCCCAGCAATACTGGGACCCAGAAGAGGTTCGGGCAGATTGAAAGCCGGAGGGCTGGCTGTAAGGAAGTGATTCAGGGTCCTGTGGAGCAAAGGTGGTGGTGGTGAGGTTGCAAGGAGCTGATGGGAACAGGAATGGTGTCTCCGAACACACAAGGGGGCCTTGTACTTCCAACTTGTACGGTACCTTGAGCAGATGTTGGGGAGCAAGTTTTAAAGGCCTTGCTAAGAGATTAGGAGTACAACACATTTAGGAAAATCCTCCTCACTCTTTCAAGGGTCCCCCAGTATCTATGGGTAAAGTGTGAGGGGGAGGCAAGCCAGACTAGCAGTGGGGCAGGAAGTGCTTGATTAGTAGTTTGAGATTAATGAAGACACACACAGGAGAGGGACAGGGAGGAAAAACCTTTGCTAAATAGAGCAAGGACTTGGGGGACCCTAAAAGCCAGTCTCTCTCCAGGGGCTGGGCTTGGTTTTTCAAGTCTTTGAAGGGTCTTTCCCTCCTACTTGAGGGTTGGTCGGTCAGTTTTGTTTTGTTTTGAGACAGGGTACTCCAAAGTAGCCCTGGCTGTCCTAGAACTTGCTCAGGCATGCCTCAAGCTCGCAGAGATCCACCTGCCTCTGATTCCTGAGTGCTGGGGTCAATGGTGTGCTGTGCTGTGACCAGGAAGGGTTGATTAGGGCAGATTTGAAGGAGGACGGGGTAGCTGATTGGCTCACAGCTGTGGCGTGCTGACCTGACCTTGAACTCATTGGGCCAGTCCATCAGTAGAGGGCCCCACTGGGAAAAACCCATTAGGCCTTTGTTTTAAAGCTGCCGGGCTTTTGTCTCAGATGAAGAAGCTGGCCATCTTGGAAGTTCACCATCTTTATTACCTAGCAATAGCCCCTCTCCCTGTGTGTCTGCCTACTAGGGAGTCTGTCTAGCTCCTAGCCCCCATACTCCCTTATCAGAGGTCACCCTAAATGTCGAGGGCTTGGAGGCACAGACTGCTTATGAGCCGGCAAAAGGGGTGATGTGGAATGGGCAGCATTTAGAGCCCCTCAGAGGAGGGTCCATCTAAGGGGCCATGATAGCACTTAACAGATAGCAAAGATCCAGAGCATTAGGCAGCTGAGTGAGGCCAGTGTGTATTCTTAGAACGTGTGTGACGGAGCAGCTGCAACACACAACGTGAGGCTGTTGGTATGCAATTCTTATGGAGGGTGTGCTGAAGATCGCTGGTAGTTTTGCCCTTATTAGAGGAAGTGGACAGGTCAAAGAACACTTGGCCGACTCTAAGCATCAGTGAGACTGATGATCTCTTTGTTACCACTGCCCACTCACTGTATGATGTGTACACATGAGGGAGCGTGGGTAAGCCCAGAGGTCTGCCACTGGCTCTCCTCTATTACAGCTTCGTGGGGAACATTAAGAAGCAACATGAGGAGAATGTTTTAATATCATGATGAACATACATTTTTCTTAGTAATTGTACATCTGGCTGGGCCATGTAGCAGAGCCCTGCAGAAGGATGAAATATCTGTGCAGAAAGCTGTTTGTTACTCCAGACTCTAGTTTGTATAAGGAGCGAATGCCTGGAAACTAAGAGAAGTCTGTTAAAGCCAGCATCTGATTGACAACTCAAAGGAGATATAGAGCCGGGCATGGTGGTGCATGCCTTTAAACCCAGCACTCAGGAGTCAGAGACAGACTGATCTTTGAGAGTTCAAAGACAGCCTGGTCTACAAAGTGAGTTCCAGGACAGCCAGGACTCTGTTACACAAAGAAACCCTGTTTTAAAAAACCATATATATATGAGAGAGAGAGAGAGAGAGAATCCCAACAGGTCTTTTAAGATAGAATTGTTCATGTAGTATCATGGACACTACATGAGTCCTGAATAGTTTCTCCAAACCTGTCAGTGTGAGGTTTAAAATGTCCAGAATAGGCTGGTCATCCCACAGAGACGGAGGGCAGATGACTGTCAGTGGGGGTGTGGGGGGCAGGTGAGAGAAGATGGAGAGGGCCCATTAATGGGACAGGAAGTTTTTCACTGGAGACAGAAATAGCCATCAACTTGGAGAGTGGAAATGCTTGCACAGCTTGATGGATATGCTTTATAGAACACTCAAAATCCACTAAAGTGGTAACTGTGATGGTTTACAAGTTACACCCTAGTTTTAAAAACAAAGGTATTGATAGCCCCCAGCACCCTCTGCCCCACCCCAACAGGAAAATTAAGGAAAGTGCAGTCCAAACTGCACCGGCACCCGGAACAGGCTGAGCCTTTGCAGTACTGTGCTTTCTCAGTGAGAAAACACGCCAAGTACCTGTGAGATTCATAAAGGGAAAACTCCTGAATAATAGTATGCAGCTACTTCTAATGAGCAAAAGGGAGCTGGCCTGAACAGAAATTCCCCTCAGCTTACACAGGACTGTCGTGTTCGAAGTGGAAGCCGAGAAAACTCACTTCAGAGACAGAAACTTCCTGGTGGCATACATCTTTAGTCCCGGCACTCAGGGAGGCAGAGGTAGGCAGGTCTCTGTGAGTTCAGGCCTACCTGGTCTATAAAGTGAGTCCAGGACAGCCACGGCTATTCATAGAAACTCTGTCCTGAAAAACCAAAACCAACTAACCAACCAACCAAACAAACAAACAAACAAACCAAAAACAAGTTTTATTTTCCACACTTGCAGGGAGGCGGTCAGTTTGGGGTCCGAACTATGTCCCTGAGGGAAAGCTGTATTGCATGTTTAAAGAGTGAAAACCATAGAGCAAGGGGGAGCAGGGTAGGCTGTAGCAGTGTCTAAACATATTTTGACAGAAGGGGTTGAGCAAGGGAGTTTCCACCAGTCAGGATAGGAGTAGGTCCCTAGGCTGGGAACATGATCTTATTTGACCCTGCCAGCAAGATGGAGAAGTTGTCCCTGAGCTGTCTGGACTCAGACAACTGTCTCCTTACAAGTTGTCCCTGAGATGACTGGACTCAGACAAACGTTTCCTTATAACAGAAGCTGTTCCGCTACTGGGAAGTCCCCAGCTCCCCTAAGGCCTGGGACCTTGAACTTAGTTTCTCCCTATGAGTAAATGGAGTCTGAAGACAAAATGGCTGAACAAGTTTCTTTTGCTCATTCCCAACAGGACTAGGCCCCAAGTTATACTCTGAGCAAGTATACGCTGTTCTACAGAGACAGGAGTTCCAAGCTTTGGTTGTTTGGTCAAACGGGGAGATTTACAGTGTAAAACATTGTCATAGTCTCCCCAAGACAGAGCAGGGCTGCTTTCCCCAGGCAGCTGTAAGTGGGGTCACCCTGCCGGCAGATCTCTGCTCTTCCTGAGAAGAGCGATGGATTAATCCTGCCAGCCAGGGTTGTCCGCTCTAAACTGCCTGGCAGAGGCAGTGCTCCGTTAGCTAAAACGTACTTTTGTGTGGCTTAATGTTTTCTGAGAACGTTTATTGATAAATATTCTATGAGTTTATCACTTTCATTTCCTCCTTCAAGGGAAAGGTCTCCCCCACACACACCTTCACTAGCACAACATGTGCTGTAGTCGCAGCACTTTGGGACTCAGGGGAGAGTTTAGGAGGAGAAACGTCAGGCATTGGCCTGAGACAAGCTCTTAGGCCTTCGTCCAAGCTGTGAAGGGAACTATGCGGGGCATCCCAGAGCCCTTCTGCTTCACTGGGCCCAGACTCTTGCATCATCTCTCTGGTCCTGAGTTCAATGTCTAAGCTCTCCCAGGAGACCCGATGCTCGGCGGAGTCGTCCTCCTTGGACTTGCGCATCCTTGCATACAAGGAAGCATTCATCCACCCCTGGTTTTGTCTACCTGCAAAGCATGTGTAGAGAACAGAATGGGCCGGCTCCTGAGGTGTCACCTTTTTAAGGAAAAAGGTGCCAACAGTTTGGGGTGAGAGGGGCCAGTTCTCTCAGGACCTAGAAAGAGTAGCAGTGAAGTCTTGGGGCCAGGAAAGCAATACCATGTGCCCATCCGCAAGGCAAGCCTGGGGATGGCCCTGTGAACTGCTTGGTCCTAATGAGGTAAAAAGGAAGCCCAAGATAGGGAGGGCACTTAGTCCTGAAATGGGGAAGGGTATGAGTAGCTACAGGCCTGAATAGAACACCTTGCAGGAGGGGAGTCTTGTGTGTGTGTGGGGGGGGGTGTCGGTAACCCCCTTGAACTCATGCTCTTGTCTATCTTGAACCACCCACAGGATTGAAGCTGAGCAGCGACCAGCTGGTCCTAGTCTACAGCACACTGGGGCTCTGCCTCTGCGCCATCTTCTGCTGTTTCTTGGTGGCCGCGGCCTGCTTCCTCCGGCGTAGAGCAGAGCCGCTTCCCAGCCAGGGCGCACTGCCTCGTGGGCCACAAGCAAAGGCTCCCCACCGTAAGTGCAGAAAGCTAGGCCTCCTTCCTTGACAAGCACCCGCCTTTCCTCTCTCCCACATCCTGAAGCTGAAATCGGGTTCAAGCAGCAGGGCCACTAGGAAGGGTGGTGTTAAGTTTAGCTTTGGGAGGAGATCTGGAAGGAGGCCACCCGGGGCGGGAGTGGGGTTTGGGGGGGGTGGTTTCGGGGTGCAGGAAGAAGTGAGCCCAGCCTTAAAAACCTCTTCAGGGGCGTCCAGGAGAGCGAGGCCTGGAATGGCTTGTAGGATCGCTGGGCTTCTGGGCCAGGCGGTGTGGCACAGCCCTCGGTGCCCAAGGCGCCCTACTCTGTCCCTGCAGGCGCGGCGAAGGAGGCTCTCAGCGAGGTGGTCGCGCCACCCCAGCCTGTCGAGACGTGTAGCTTCTGCTTCCCGGAGCGCAGGTCGCCCACGCAGGAGAGTACCCGCGCTCTCGGGATGCTGGGCTTCGCGGGCACCGCCGCCCCACAGCCCTGTGCGCGCGCCACGGCCGGCGGCCTGGGGGGCGTGCGCCTGCCCACCGGGGACGCGCGTCCTGGAGCTTGACAGACAGCGAAGAAGGAGGAGACAAGGGAGAAGATGGAGTGCGAGGGGGTTGGGGGTGGGGTGGAGAAGAGAGCGGATGAAGACGACGAGAAGAAGGCAGAGAGGGGCAGCACCCACGCAGAGCAATAAAGCAACTAACCCGCAGTGCCCACGTCCGCACCTGTGCCACTGTGCCCCACACTTTCCCCTGAGCAGTCAACCTGTGTGCTCCTCTTTAGTGGAGAAAGATGGAAGAATGACCGGCGCCCAGAACGCCGTCCTTGCCGTCCTTACAGACAAGCGGGCTTACCTAGGGCCTTGGGCAGATAGCTGAATGCAGTGTGTATGTATTTGTGAACTAAAGACTTTGTATGTGAATGTGTAGATGCTGGGTTGTGTCATGTGGGCGTGTCTAATTGGGTTGCATGTCTGTGTATTGCGTGTCTGTATGAACTGGGTGTATGTGTGTGTGCATATTCACATGTGTGTGAATTTTGTGCATGTAGGTTTTTGTGTGTGGTCAATGTGGCGTAGCCAGGAAGGTGAGGGCCCCTCTGGGTGAAGGCCAAACGTCTAAAAGAATGATGGGTGTTCCCTGGACCTCAGCGAGAGTGGGTTCAATGCACCCATTTTTCTGAGCATCCACGCTTATCTTTTTAGTTGCATTTAAATCTCCAGATGCATGAAAATATCCTCAGGAGCATTTTCCCAGCAAGCTTAAGTGTGAGATTGTACACAGGGAAATTTCATCCTTAACACCCGGATACCTACCCAGTTTGCAGTGGCCTTCCCACGCCAAAGGCCACACAACAGGTGCCCCTGTTCTCACCACTCCCAACTAGCAGGCTGGCAGGGGTAACGCTGCCATGCACAGAATAGCACCAGCGCCAGCTCCGCTCACACGAAGTGGCTGCCCACAGGGTTTGGAGTCTGCAGTCAAGGTGGCTACAGAATTGGCACTTCCTGAGGTTGCACGTGCGGGATCTGTCCTTGGCTTCTCCTTAACCCATTGGTGGTCATTCTCCCCATCACTCTACACTCCGTCTTCTGTCTCTCGGATCATTCTCCCCTTTACATTTCATGTTAGGATCTGCCTAATGGCTTCCTTTCCACTTCTCAGCTCCATCTCTGAATAAGGCCACATTCAAAGCACTAAGGATTTCAGCATAGTGAGTTTTGGAGGACAAATTGAAAACCAACAGCGGAGGCCCTGTGAGACCACTGCTGCTTTATCTTTGTTGGAAAGTTGGCATTTAACAAGTTCTTGTCCAAGACGTGTTGAGCCATCCTGTATCATTACCACGCTGCCATGATCAGCTTCCTACAACAGGCTTGCTAGAAAGACCCGGCTCCTGCTACAGACAGCTAAAGAACATCACAGCCCATGCGCAGAGACAAGACTCCAGTGCTCAGCGTCTGGGAGACGAACCTATTTCTAATCTTTACAATCTGTGGTTTTAAAATTCTGCTCATCTGAACCCAAAGGGGCTATAAATACAAGATGTTTCTGGAACCAGGGGTCGGGGAGCAGAAGTTCAGCTCAGCCTCAAAAACAGTCTTGAGAGTGTTTGGTCAGCGTGTCAGTGGATCTTTTGTGCAAATTTTGTATTTTACTTCCTGTTTGTAAAGAAGGGGCTCTTTTTGCCAACTTTATCTGTTGCGCTGGGTCAGCCTTAGACTATAGCCTAACTCCCCTTAAAACGTTTTTATTAGTATGTGTTAATTGAATAAAACTGGTTTTGCTGCGGCTTTTACAAACTTGTATACAATGTGCTTTGTTAGTCTCTCCCACCCTGTAACTCTCTCACCTCCTGCCACTGGTCTCCCCTCCACAAATCGCTACCCTTCTAATCTCATGTCCTCAGAAAATATCTAGATCCTGTAAGTGTGAGAAAACCTGATATGTGTCTTTCCTAATCTTATTTTCCTCAACACTCTTATTGCAACCATTTCTCCAAAGATGATAAAATTTTATTCTTCCTTCACGATCTCTTTGTTGCCTGAATTTCTCACCTGGACCTCTGGGCCAGTCTTCCATGATACCTTTCTCAGTGTTTCCGTAAAGCCCATGTGTGGCCAGCCAGGCGTGTGCACCACATGCTCTTCCTGAGGCTGCTCAGCAACAATTCTTCTATAATACATAACTTTGTCTTATATTTTTTTCAGTGGTCTGAATGTGATGCTTACGGGTTCCTTTGAGGGACCACCTGGGAATGAGAAAAACAACTGTGATTCTTTGAATTGAAGCCAGGTGCAGAGAGCTCTTGAAGGGTGGGGTGAACTGTTCTGAGAAACAACCAGCTGTAAACTATCTACAACCAGCTGTAAACTATAGAACAAAGTGGTTTAATTTTCAGGTATAAAAGCCCTGTGCTTTGCATGTTCGGGGTCGTCTCCTGTCTTTGGAGGGGCAACTCTTTCGAGATAGCAATAAAACATCTTGCTTTTACATCAAGCTGTGGTCTGTGAGAGTTCCTGGGAAGGGTGCGATCCTGAGCTCCTGAGCAGTGAGACTCCAGGTCTTACGTTTTTGGTGTGTTGCCCGGGAAACAGCATGCCCCTTCCCAACCCTCATCAGACGGGGTTCGGAGGTCGAGCTTGGAACTAGTCTTATTTCTGGTATACCACTCTGTATCTGGGAACTGGAGAACGCTCCTGATTCCATCTGGGGAGGCTAGGTCTGTGAAGGTTTTCCTCCCATCTGTAGGAGTCAGCTGCCAGGAGGCAGCCTCTCCATCTGGGGAGGCTAGGTCCGTGATGATCCTCCTCCCATCTGCTTCTCATTGGAGATGGCTGCCATGAGGCAGCCTCTCAATCAGAATTCTGTGGTTCCACCCATAAGGGCGTCCTTATCTGAATTGCCTGTCGTGTTCTCTTTGTCTCTATCGTTGTTGCTTCTTTGACTTTCTTGACGGACGACTTCATTATGGGACAGACTGTTACTTCTTTTTGACCTTCCCCTCACTAATCCCCCAGCAGGTCTGCAGCAGGGTGCCGCCAGATGATGATGGAAATCAATAAGTGGAAGGCCCATAACCCCCCTTTTCTGAAAATCCCCAAGCTCTAACTGATTTGTTTGAATCTGTCCTATTCTCACACCAGCCTACTTGGGATGATTGCAGCAACTCTTGCAGGCCCTCCTGACTACCAAGGAACGGGGGCAGGTTCTCCTTGAGGCGAGAAAGAATGTGCTGGGAACGGACGGGAGGCCTTCCGTCCTCCCTAAGGAGATTGATGATGGCTTTCCCCTCACCTGCCCCAACTGGGATTACAACACACCTGGAGGTAGGGAGCACCTGAAAGTCTACTGCCAGACTCTAATGGCGGGTCTCCATGGGGCCACTCGAAAGCCCACCAATTTGACGAAGGTAAGAGAGATGAGATGGTTCAGGGGCCGGATGAATCCTCCACAGCCGTTCTTGAATGGCTGATGGAGGCTTACTGCTGGTTTATGCCCTATGACCCTACCTCAGATGAGCATAGGGCAATGGTGACTATAACCTTTATAGACTAGTCAGCCAGAGATATTCGTAGAAAACTCCAGAAAACAGAGGGTTTACAGGACAAGTCATTGAAGGATTTAGTGCAGGTAGCAGAAAAGGTTTTCTACAGCTGGGAGATGGAAGAAGAGAAAGAGGAAAGAAAGCAGAAAGAGCAAGAAGTGAGAGAAAGAAAAAGGGATAAGAGGCAAGACAGAAAGTTGACTAAGATCCTGGCCACCGTAGTGCAGGAGAATCGTAAGGATAGGGAGAGAGTTCCTAGCAATTGGAGGGGCCCTCTGTCTAAGGATCAGTGTGCCTATTGCAAGGAGAAAGGACACTGGATCAAGGATTGTCCAAAAGGAAGAAAAAGCCGGTCCACTTCTTGGTGGACACTGGCACCCAGCATTCTGTTCTGTTACAAGACTTAGGAGCTAAAAAAGAGAAAAAATCGTGGGTCCAAGGAGCCACTGGATGTAAACAATATTCATGGACTACCCGAAGAATAGTGGACCTTGGAGTGGGCTGGGTATCCCACTCATTCTTAGTTGTCCCCACATGCCCATACCCGCTGTTAGGGCAAGATATCCTAACTAAGATATGGGCCCATATCATTTTAGAGCAGATGGCCCACAGGTGACAGACGATAAAGGGGTTCCATTCAGGTGCTGACGATTCAACTGGAAGATGAATACCGCCTGTTTGAAAAGGTGGTAAGTCTGGAAAAAGACCTTGACTGGTGGCTAGAGAGACATCCCAGGGCACGGGCTGAAACGGCTGGCCTAGGAAAAGCAGAGAGACAGCCCCCAGTTCAGATAGAGCTGAAGCCTCAGGCTACCCCGATCGCGGTGCAGCAGTATCCGATGTCTAAGGAAGCCCATGACGGGATCCGCCCTCACATTCAGCGGCTCCTTGACCTGGGGTTCTCAGAAGGTGCCAATCCGCCTGGAATACTCCATTGCTGCCAGTTCGGAAGCCTGGGAGCAACGATTACTGACCTGTACAGGACTTTGAGGGACGTTAAACAGGTCATGGACTTACATCCTACAGTGCCCAACCCGTATAACCTGTTGCGTTCCCTGACAGGGTTTGGTATACAGTCCTGGACCTTAAGGACACATTCTTTTGCCTTCAACTTAGCCATACCAGCCAAGACATTTTTGCTTTCGAATGGGAAGACCCAGCCTCGGGGGTCTCGGGCTAGCTTACATGGATGAAGCCACCGGCTATTGCAAGAGCTGGGTGAGCTCGGCTACAGAGCGTCCACAAAAAAGGCCCAGCTCCGCAGAAAACGGGTCAGTTATCTGGGATATATATTGAGAGGGAAAGAGATGGCTATCGGAGGCTAGGAAAGAGACTGTATTTCATATTCCCCCTCCTCGGACTACTAAACAACTGAGGGAATTTTTAGGTACAGCGGGGTGGATGTCGATGCCGGGATTTGCCGAGATGGCAGCCCCTCTGTATGCCCTTACAAAGGGCAACGACTCTTTCATCTGGGGAAAGGATGAACAAGCTGCATTTGATAACAAGCCTTAAGGT